GCGGTCAGTGCTCGGGGAAGCCAGCGCCCTGCCAATTGTGCCTTCCCTGCTGTGTGGTCGGCTGGGTTTGTCCAACGTGAAGCCAGAGTCTGTTCTTCAAAGTCCAAAGGAACCGGCTCAGTTACAAGGGTGCTTATGAAAAACTCTTGCATGTCATTTGCAAAACTCAGCAACAACAGGACAGACTGGAGCCATGCAATGTGCTGAGGGCCAGCCCCTGGAGGAACCCATAGAGGCAGCGTGAACACCATGGCGGGAAACAGCTTTCCCTGGGCATGTAACAGCGAGGACTTAACCAAAGTAAAGAGCCCAGGCCAGGCTCTTGAAGACAAGAGCACAGAAAGCAAACTACACCTGACTGGTTAACGTACGCTGGGTCTACCTGAACTCAGCGGCTCGTCACTGAGGACCACACCTGTCACCAACACCTGCTGTGCCGAGATGCCAAAGGCCCCTTGGAAGTGGAGAGAGCTGACTTAAAAACGCGTGGACAGCCGGTCTAGACAGAACATCAGCAAAGCAAACCACTAAGCATGTTTAATATCATTTTACCAACGCTAAAACTGTTTCCTATCTGAATTTTAGTTCTCCTTCAGAAAAGGAACAATCAGGGTGAGTCCAAGGCTAATGCACCCCCTCAAACTCAGAGTGGGCCAGAGGGGCTGACTCTGCACTTTTGTTATTCGGGACTGGCTTAAAAAACAAAGAAAAACAGCATTACTTAGGACAAGCGTTCAGAAATGCTCGAGTAGAAAACAGTTACAGCTCACTTTGTAAGTGCGTGCCACGCAGCACCAAGAGATAACCGTGTGAAGAATTCCTGACTACGAATCGCGCATGTAGGAAAGAATCTGGCCCACAAACTTCCCGATTAAATGCCTGTCTAATAAAATACCATCGATGGCCCCCAGATGACTGTTTGAGGGGGGTTGGGACAGTTCAGTCTGGGCTCTAGAACTCATTAAATGCGTTTCTTCATGCTGAAAGAATTTCTTGCCTTTTTAGTTTGCTCTTAACAAGGACCAACATAGGAAACCACAAAAAGGATCTACATGTATTTCAAAATAAAATCCTACAGTACATAGTAATGTAAAGAGGCCCTAGCATAGCTGTGAGGGGTTTTAATCTGTTTCTCTGTCTTCTATCCCTGGCCTTAAGATATCATTCATTTTATTTAAGAGCAGTCGAGAGTAGACAGGGTCTGAAAGCACTGTGTTTGCTGTTACATGGCAAGACTGTCAGGCCTCAGGAAACCCTTCAGACATCTGAATGATCCACCCGTCCCTAGTCTCCGCTATGCAATTTTCACAGTCAACCCTGCTACTGACTTCCTGTACCTTAAGTTCAACTTTACACAAATGTAAGTCGGTTGTTAGTGCCTAACATCAAGGCTGTGGGCTTCGGGAACCCTTGGAGCCTGAGGCCTCTCCACAGTTGGAGCGCAGAGAGGCCGGGGAGGGGTGTTGGCTTCTCCGAGCTCCACACAGGGACAGTGGGGAGGGTGCGCACGACCCAGCGACCCCTCTACACTCAGCCCACTGCGGGCCCACGCTCTCTGACTGACGTTCTGGGATCTCTCTGAGTGGAAGCTAAGCTTCCGTAAGGGCAACACATGACTACCCATTCTCAGCACGACAGGATATGCGACCTTGGAACAAACCTGTCTCTCCCCAGTTCTTTCAGGCACCGATAATTTGCTGGGACTGTTACCTTCATAAACACCAGCCAAGAGACAGAAATTAAATTGCTTGCCTGGTACAAAACCAATGAGGAGAAGACTCTGCTATCCACAAGTGGAAAACTGGCTACGGACACCCTGAGGCACGCGAGGATGGGCCAGCTGCTCCGAAAACACTGGAGACCCAAAAAAAATCATTCGTGCAGGAAAAGGCAGCGCAAAACACCCACAAAACACACCTGGCCTTCAAGGGTCACAGGTACTGATTTCTGTTGTAACCACACGACAAGGCAGACAGAACTCATTCCGATTCACTATAGACCTCCGTGTAAGCAGGGGATAAGGAACTTTGTGAACAAATCACTGTTGCCATTAGAACAATCGAACAGCTCTGCTCAACTCCTGCCTGACTTACATTTCCCTATAGCAAACTGCAGCTTTTCCTAAGACCTGACAGCGCATACAAAAGCATGTTAGAACCAAAGCATGGCTATCTGCTTGCAAGTGTCTCTGTCATCCACGGTTTTCGCGTCTAACTTTAATCAGAAACGCAGGAGAATCAAAGAGTGGCGCCGGAAAGGCCCGGTGGCATTAAGGGCTCACAAGAGGAAGGAGCTGAAGTCAAGGGACGGAGGGGATGGTGAGCTTTGTGGCACAACACCAGGTGTGATCCAGGGTCACCCGGCTCCCCCCCCCCGCCCCGCCCCCCGGAATGAGCTTGCTCATCCCACAGTGAAGGTTTGCCCGGGTGACTGCCGGGAAGCCTCCTCACAGCGTGGTACGAGCCATCTAAGGCAAGGTCGGGGAGCCTGCGTCGATGAACAACCGCCAACCCCCTCTCCCGCTATCAGTTAGCTCCACCCGTCATGCACTGATAATCGGCGGATCGAGAAAAAGTGAAAATGCTTGCATTGGAAAAAAAAAAAAAACGGATGCAGTCTCCTGACTGTTTAAAAAGTGGCTCCCCAACATGCCGGCTGACAAGATTCTGAGACCCGCAAGCCACGCTTAACCTCACTTCCCGAACAAGTCCAGCTTCCCCTACCCCTTCATGCAGCCGCAGGAGGAGTCTCCTAAGACGAGTGGCCTGACGGCTCGTCAAGGATGTTTTACCTTTATAGCTTTTCAGAATTTTGTAGTTACTTCAGATCTAAAAAAATTTTGCTCCACGATTAAAAAGTTACCAAAGACTGAAAAATACAAATGGAGGGGGCATTTTTTAAAAAGCACTTCATCTGTGGCATGCTCCTGGCTCCCCAGCCAGCAAGGCAACGGCTCAGCTAACACCCCTACTGCACCCCAACAGATTCTCCAGGGCTATCAGCTCCGATGGGGAAAGGACCCTGGCTGCACCTGCGGAGCCATTTGGGAAGGCCACGCTGGTGATACCACAGGGCAGTTAAGGAAAACCCGATGTGAGCTAAAACCCCAGTCCCATGAACTACAGTGTAGAAAGGCTGGGTGCCAGGCAGAGGCCTCAAAGATTTTGAAGAGGTCCCAGAAATCTCCAGGTGTCAGCGTTCTCGGTGGGGCCACTGTTGGTAAGAACACATAAAACCAAGGGCAGTGGTAAGGCAGGGCAGCATGTGTCTGGCAGGCGGGCAGGCAGGCACGCGGATGGCTAACCTTCTGGAGGCAACGGCGCCCATGGCCGTTCTGGATCACAAGGGATTTTGAAAGTCAGAGAGAGCCACATTCTAAAAAAGAAAGCTAGTGATCTGTCCCAGCAATGTAAACCCCAACCAAACGAGCAATCCCAGGTAGGTGGCCGTGCCTGGGGATCTGACAACTCTGATAGCATTTCACAGGAAACCGAAAGGACCCCAGATTCTTCCCACTGAAACACCCCGTTCCTCTTGAGTATGACTTTACCAACAGAATCTCAGCTAGCAATAAATTCCACCTGGCCTCACATTTGTTCATGCCCCCCCTTAAAGAGGGGGACACTTTTCTGTGGTCTCGGTGACATTTCAGTCACAACTCTCAGCCAACAGAGGAGGGTAACCTGCACACACCACTGAACACACACAGAAAATCACCAACGTGAATAGATACACCGTTCCCACTGCCCGGTTCATCGTAAGGTATTTCTCACTCCCTTCACCCAGCAAAGCAAACCTCCAGTAACTTGTTTGCTAGGATTCCCTGTACACCCATCACCATGCTTCTAAAAAAGCGAGCCACGCTTGCGGGAGGTCTGCGTCCCTCAACAGTTCGGGGACCCGTAAGTATGCGCCTATCCCCAGACTTCATCTAACAAATGTTGACTAAAAACGAACAGGCCGCTGGGACAGACCCTCTGTGAGGCAGGCCTGGATTTATGACTCCGTTTCATTGCCCCTCCCCCATGCCTCCCAGTCTCCTCACTCATCCTCCCCTTCCTCCTCACTGGGCCGCAAGCCACGCAGCAAGCCCTTCTGGCTCTTGTTGGAAGCGGAACTCGGACTTGCTGGGTAGCCAAGGGCCAGGGGCTTCCTTGAAGGGCTCACCATGGCGGAGTCCGAATCACTGGATTCAGTCCCGCTGCCCGTGGAGCACTCGGTCACTTGCAGAGGTGCCGGGGGGCCCGCTACATGACCAGAGCACACAGCCTGCATGAGGGGAGCCTCTGAGGTGGGGCCTGTGAGAGGGGCGCCGTTGGCCAGCGTCCGACCGTGGAGAGCAGTCACGCTGGCCAACCCTTCCTCTCCCCGCTCTCCAAGCCTATCCATGGCCTCTGGGGTGGGGGCTGCCTGGCTAAGGATGAGCGGGTCGGTCTCTGACTTGTTGTACCTGCTGGGCAGGTTGCGCAAGTAGGGTCTCTGCAGGGCAGGGGAGCAGTCGTCACAGGGAGGACCCCGCTTGGGGGCAGCGTCCTCTCCCGTAATCTTTTCCCTCGGGTCATGCCCATTTTCAGAAACATAGCCTTGGGACCCGGTCCTGTCCCAACTCATATTTGGACTGGAGCTTCTGCTGCAGGGAGACAGTGGGGTGGCCGGGGGGCTGTGGCCGGCCGAGGCCCTGAACATCTCATCTATCAGGGAGCTATGCCGTGGAAACCCGGGGCTCCCACTCAGGTCAAAGGTAATATCTGCCGAATCATCATCAAGGAATCCTCTAGAAGGAGGCCGGGAGGACTTTGCAGAGGGAGGGGAAGCCCTATGCCTAGTCTCTCTGGACAGCAGATAGACACCACTGGTCAAATCACCCTCATAATTGTCATTTGTTTGGGACCGTGACCGGGACCCTGGTTCTCTGAGAAGGTCGTACTCGCTATCTACATCGCTGCAGTCAATGAAAGGAATGGAAGCATGGCTGCCTCCGGCAGCCTGGGATGCTGGACCTGTGCTTGGCTGCGGGGGCTGAGGTTTACTTGGCTGGGTGCCCTCCTTGCCACCCTCCTCCTCCTCCTCTTCCTCTTCCTCGGGCGGCGCCGTGGCGGTTCCGTCTGTAGCTCTGCTCCCCGGAGGGCTCTTAGGTAGAGCCGGGCTTTGGCGTGGTCCCGACTCTAAGGCAGAGACTTTTGCTTCCTTGGCTTGCTGGCAGCTCTGGCCACCGGGAGACTCAGAACCTTCTCCAAACGTAAGGCTGGCGCTCTGCGGAGACTGGGTAGAGAGGACAGGAGAAGGAAGTGGGGTTTAATTTAAAGGTTTTCTCCCCTAGAAGCTGGAAGGGATGGCGCCTAGACTCCAGCATGGCCTCTCCAGAGCTGCAGGAAACCCTGTGCCCAGGCAAGAAGCAAAAAACTCACGATCCACAAGGCGGGGAAGACACCAGAAAAGCCAGAGACAACTGCACTCAGGGAAAGGGTAATATCACAGGCGGAGAAGGGGCTGGGTGTCAGAGTCACACGACAAAAACGCCTTCACGCCCTTCCTCAATCAGACTCTTGGTCTCTTTGGGAGAAAATCCAGAAAACAGCATACTGAGACACCAGCACTGGGGGGGGGGGCGTACTTGCCACACTTGCAGCAAGGGTGACAGTTTCCCTGCTGCTGCTTGTCACAAGTCCCGATCAGTCAGTCACACAGCAGACACGATTATCGGGTAGGCAGGCCTGGCTGGCCAGCCTCAGGGACGGCCATGTGTGTACATTTAACCCCCCAAGCTCATGAGGTTTGGAATTAAAAGACGAAACTGTGCAGCTGAAAAGCCACACATAGGCTTGCTCTGCAGAAGCCTCGTTCAGCTCAGGGCCACCTGAGCCGAACCTTAGAGCAAAGGAGCCATGACCGGGAGGAACCCAGAAGAATAGCTAGCTGCCTGCGGTTGTCAGCGCCTACCCACTGACCTGTTTTGGCACTTCCGAATTCGACGCTGTGGGCTGGGAAGCGAGGCTCCTAATGGAATGGATCTTGCTGTGTTTTCTGAGGGAAATCACACAAGACAGCTAATGTTAGGACAGCTTTGACTAAATGAAGCAAGTACCTGCTTCTGTTTGAGGCACCGGGTCCTTTTTCAACCGTGAAGGTACCCAAACATACCTTCGTGAACATGACACACAGGCAGTATTTTCACAACACCTGTGTAGTCCAGGGTTAGGGTTAGGGTTAGGGTTAGAGTTAGGTACATCCTCCCGAACATCCTGGTCTAGCTGCGGAAGAACCATGAATGACGGAGCTCTGCCTGTTAGCTATCGGCAAAGTAGGGAGATAGGAGAAGCCACCAGGCAAACGCTCTGAACTGTAGGCTAACAATGTCAGTATCAATTTGTGCACTAGGTTCAGCGTTTTCCAGGTCAGATCTATGGCAGGGGTAATGATCACAGACCATCTCACAGGCTAACAATATGAGTATGAATTTGTGCACTAGGTTCAGTGTTTTTGAGGTCATATCTACGGCAGGGGTAAATGATCACAGACCACCTTACAAACTGTAAACCTAGGAGAAAAAGGCTACCCTTGTAAGGAAACTGAGACTTTAGGAGGGGACTACAGTGCCACCAGCACAGGTCCTTTATCTTGTCCTCCCTATCTGCTGGACTACTAGAAACTTCACTGAACTCATGAGATGGTATAAATAAATCCAGTGTACACACATCTTTTCTTCACATGGAAAGGCCCCAGGACACCTACATGGACAATCAGAGCTACCTCTTACGTGGTCTTCAACATGGCGACTGCTAATCATCTAAGAAAACGATGGGGTTATTATTATTATGTTGTTGTTGTTATTACTATCATAGTCTTTGGTGAGCTAGTGGCTTGGATACATAGGCAAAAGCTTCCCGACATCACATTTCTGGGTATGGGACATGAGAAACCATGAGGGACTCGTGGCTTGTTTTAGCAGAATTAGAGCAGAGCTGACCTGAACATCTGTTAATAGGGAATGCAATCAATAAGATGTGAAGTACCCTAATATCCTAGAAGTCCAAGCAAATTGAGAATCAACGACTCAAATGCATGTCTTTATGTAAGTACGACAGCACTTATGTAACTGAAACAACACACGCAGTAAGTATTGAGCCCCAGAAGGAGCGTAAGTCTAGAAGTTTCTTTTGGAAAGAGAGGTGGGAACTAATGAAGGATGTGACCCAAGGCAGTTTTATCTACTTCTGCTAGTCATAGCAGCAACAAACAGAGAGAACTCCTCAACTAAATATTCCAAAATGCACTATACACATAGCTTGAAGGCTTTAAAAAATATATATATATAATGCTTATAATCTTGTACATTTTCGACTAGGATCAAGTGTGAGATTTTTCCACACAGGAGTTTTAGGATGGAGCTCAAGTGTCAGATTTTTCCAACTCTTCAGACTCCCAGGTCAGAGCGGCTCACCCTGTGCTTGCAAACACCAAGTTGTAAGAGCATACGTATCCACTACACCCCGTCTATATGCTAGGGTAAAAAATTCAATGTAGTGACATGAAAAACAGAAGGAAATTAAAAAAAAAACAAAACAAAAAAAAACGAACACTCACAGGCAGCTGCTAGGAGCTTAGGCCAGGATTTCACTCCTCACCCTTCAGCTTAGCCTTTGCTTGGGCTCTGCTGCTGTCTTGGGAGGCCCAGGGGCACTGAGAGCTGGGAAACTTCCCAGTCAGGAGACCAGTGCTACTGGCTCTGCGCGCATGTCTAAGCAGAGGACGCCGTGTCTAAGCAGAGACTGGCAAGCACCTGCAGCCACCAACATCAACAGCCACAAACCTGCCGGTTCTCTCTTTCTCTCAACCTTACCTAACTAAAGTTAACGGAGATATTCACAAGCCACACCCCCCCATCGTATACAGACACTGTCATCCCTGCACTGGGCCCAGTCAGCCCTCCATTGCCTCTTCCTCCTCACCTGCCAATCTTGAGTGAGTACCCAGGGTCCCAAAATGTTCTTGTCCCAACCCCCGACTTGCTGACATAGACTGCAGTTGACTGGAACTTGCCCAGGCTGGGTGAAGACGCATTAGTTCCCGGGAGAGAATGGCCCCTTACCTTCTGGAAAGAGCGAGCCCCTTACCTTTCGAACTGCACCTTCTTGTGGCCACCCTCTCTCACATAGTCCAGAACTTGCTTCTGAGTCCGGCCGCTGAAGCAAAGACCACAAGAGTAAGGGGGGGGGGGTGACGCGGGGGCAATTGCATACAAACATGCCTTCTTGCTGGGAGACTTTAATCCCAGCAGAGGCAGGCGGATCTCTGTGAGTTAAAGGCCAGCCTGGTCTACAGAGTGAGGTCCAGGACAGCCAGGGCTATGCAGAGAAACCCTGTCTCAAAAAACAAAAACAAAACTAAAACCAAAACCACATCTTCTCAGCCAGGTAAGAAGAAAAAAAAAAAAGGAATCCTAAGAACCTCAGTGGCTTCTGTACATCTGATCTCTTGTTATCTTTCCTTACATATAATAAGACAAAACATCCAATTAAACAAACCCACTCAACCAAGGTTGGCTGGGAGGACACCAGCTCAGGAGTCTGTGCATCTGTGAGGGTGGGGAAAACTTAGTTCTGTCTTTACTTAGACCAGCGTTCCTCACAGTACAACGTCAGTACTGTCTGAAAAGTCAACGAAAGCGTGAACCTAAGACTTTCAAGTCTACGCACCCGCCTGTGACGCAATGCCTAAGACAAATGAGACGCTTGATTTTATAAATAAACTCCTTTCTGCGTGAAGAGCGGCTAGGGGGTCGGCTCGGCGGTAAAGTACCTGCCTGAAATGCACAAGCCCCCAGAACTGTCAAAGAACAAACTCACACAAGAAGCTACAGGCACGCCAGGCGTTGATGGCGCATGCCTTTAATCCCAGCACTTGGGAGGCAGAGGCAGGTGGATCTCTGTGAGTTTGAGTTTGAGGCCAGCCTGGTCTACAAAGCGAGTTCCAGGACAGCCTCCAAGACAATACAGAGAAACCCTGTCTTGAAAAACCAAAAAAAAAAAAAAAAAAAAAAAAAGAAGCTACAGGCGGTTTTCTTCGGGTGCAGACTCTTACAGGTTGCCTATGTTCTGGTGGACGGTCCTACACCGAACCACACATGGGCAGCACTAGGGAGACAATGGGCTTAACAGAGGCTATGAGAAGGGAAAGTGGTTACTGATGTATGGAAGAAACTGGGGGGAGGGGTGGGCTTGGGCTTGATCAAAACACTGTATTCATATGTGAATTTCTTAAATTTTATATATATATATATATATATATATATATATATATCATCCAGAGACTTAGGCTGGGATTTGACTGTGAATGGCAGACGGCTATGGAATTCCCAAAGGTTCACACTGGGACAAGCAAGCCACTGCCTCCATTGGCCACAGACCCAACCACGGTCTGCCTTATCAATGAGCTGCGGCTCACAATAGTTATGGCGGGAGAAGTCTCGGGAAACGTTCACACGGAGAGAGCACACGGGCTTGGCACGCCGCCCTCACCTGAACCGGAATGACGACCCTCGGCTGAAGAGAACGGGCTTTGGTTTGGGCTTGGGTTCTTCAAAGAGTCTAAAAAAGGCATGATGCTCCACACAGATTTTCCAGAAGGCCTTGCAGAAGTCCCGGCCGGCCATCAGGAATTCCAAGGTGTCTTGGTAGGAGCTCTGCAAAAAACAAAACAAAACCAAGAATAGCTTTTATTTTCCCTGCACTACTCATATGCATGCTGTTGAAACGTGGGAAAACAGACAAAACAAACAAAGAGAAACCAGAAATGAACTTGTCCATTAAATTGCAACTGTGTGTCTAATCACAAGACCGTCTCATTCATTCAAAGACTGAGCGGGATATGGTCGCTCCCAATGACGAGGCAGGGACACTCTCCAGCCACCTTCGCTATAGACTTTCTTACGGGAACTAAGGGCAAACAGGCACACAGACCAAGTGGGGCGATGACATTTCTTAGTAGAATCCATAAACAAACGGCGTTTTCTTGGCTTCTGCTACCTCCTTAAAAATAGTCCAAGTATTAACACACGTCCCGCCCCCCTCCTTAAAATATCTGAACTGTGTGTCTTCCTCCTGGCTCCTATCTGGGGCGAAGTTTAATTCCACTGCTTTATAAAACAGTGGATGGCCCAAGCCTCCAGGTAGCCCCAAGAACCGCAGAGGAAATGAAATCCACCCCCGACCCGCGCCCCCCAGTAAAAGAAGCATTAATGACTCCCAGCTGACAAACTGACGTCTTTTGATTCTGGGAGGGATAAGGCAATTTTCTACTCCTACGCTCCGTGTTTCCAATTTCAGTGGCCATGTTACATAAACAAAAGCTCCCAGAGTCCTCAATGTTCCCAGCAACTCTGACTATTTTGGGGGCTCTCAGAGTTTGCACAAACTCAACTGAACAGTCGTTCCCACACGAACCAGCTTTCTGGAACAGCAACTGTGTTTTCCCCCGCAGAGACCCATTTGTTGGTGTGTTTGCTTCCCAGTCGGGCCTATTCACCCTCTCAATCCACTGCATCTGAGTTCTGGACCTCCACCGCCCCGGTCACCCCCGCCCCATGGGATAAAGGACTCGGTTGGGGAACGGGACAGGCATCATGGATGAGTCATGTATCGCCCGTGTGGCTTTCGGCAGGTGACGCGGGCACTAGTCTCTTTCAGGAACCCATGCTGGAGGTGCAGGGACACCTTTGGGGTTTTCTGTGGGAACCGAAAGAGGCAATGTTCAGCCCACAAGAATGCGTTCCCTGAAAGTGTAAGGCAACATCAGGACCAAGCAAGTCTGGACTGCTGAGCGGGTGTGGTCCCAGGGCGGAGCCACAGGGCGGACTTGCAGCTATAGCTCCGGCTGAAGTTGTGTGTCAGGAAGGGAAAGGGTCTCCCCCGTTAGGTACGCCTCTCTTTATCTAAAGATAAATCCTAACTCCCAGAACCCGGGTGAGGGCAAGAGCATCCCCAAGCTTTTGGGTACACGATTCTCCCCAGTCCGTCTTTACAGGCCAGATGCTGGGAAAGCCTGCGACTCGGCTCACGCCTCAGCCGATGTTCCCAAGGGACTTACGTTCACATCCGGCCGGAGCTTGATAAGAAAGCGCTTCCTCTTGAAACTCAGCTTCCGCACCTTGGCCCAGTTAAAAGCATTGATTTTCGTGAAACCCTAAGAAGAGAGAACAACCCGTGAGCTAGGCTATGCACATAAGGCACACGGAGACCCCAGGCAGAGGGCTGAGGGGGTCGGGCCAGTGGCTCAGGGAGAAGCCTTCGATGGGCGGTTCCCAGACTCTGAGTCTACCGGATGCCATGCACTCTTACGCTGTAGTTTCTCAACAGTTACAGAATTTGGCACTCAGACCCAATCTGCCTTCTTGTGGGGAAGGCACTGGTCAAGGCAATGGAAAGAAGATAAAGATGAAACCATGACAACCACCATATATCAGTGATATTCGATGCTATAAGGAAAACAATATATTTATTTACAAGAGAGAGAGAGAGTTGCACAGACCAGGAGTTAGAAGCGTGGCTGGCTTCCAGGAGAAAAAGGAGGTTCCTTTCCCTTTCACTTCCTTTTATCTCTACCTGTGTCAGTTTACATGTCCCCGCCCTCATGGGCGGATAGCTTTGTGGGGTTCACTCCTATAACCATACCAGTAACAACCGCCACACCAGTAACAACCGCCTCCCACGGAGGGCCACATGTTACACTAAGGGGTTTTTAGACTGTACCTCATCAGATCACACGCAAAACTCAGTGGGACAGATTTATTGTCTTCACTTAACAGAAACGGAAACTAAAACATGTGCATGTAAACGTACACAGAGCGCTGTGAACATCACGCCCTGTCATCCAAAGTGGGGGGATGGGGGCAATCAGGCACGGCTGAAGATGAATTCTGTGACTCCCCCCGTTTGCACACAACTAAACTGCCCATCAATTTTCAATATTTTGGTCATATTAAATACACATAAAGCACATGGATTCAATCAGGGTACCTCTTTCCTCTCTTCGTGACTTTCAGAAATATAGAAAGGCTTGGTTTTGAGATTTAATGGTCATAGCAAAACACTGGGCTTTAGTATTCTTTCATCTTTTCGTTCTTTTTTTTTAAATTTTGTTTTTTAAGACAGGGTTTCTCTGTATTGTTTTGGAGGCTGTCCTGGAACTCATTCTGTAGACCAGGCTGACCTTAAACTCACAGAGATCTGTCTGTCTCTGCCCCCCGAGTGCTGGGATCAAAGGCATGTGCCACCACTGCCTGTTTAAAAGTTTGTTATTTTACTGCTTTTTAAAATAATTTGTGGAGGTTAGAGCTGTGGGGATCAGTTCTTCCTTAGACAATCCTGCTCTTCCTAACACCAGCTGTGAGACCCAAGCCCCAGTTGTTAAGGATGCACCTGTGTGATACAAAATGTGTGCCAGAAACGGTTTCTATTCATGAGCAAGCATGTGTGTGTGCATGTATGTGTGTGTGTGTATGTACAAATGCATGTGTGTGAATGTGAATATACGTGTGTGTGAGATATGTGTGTGTATCATGTGAGAGAAAGAGGAGGGAGAGACAAAGTGAGCAAGAGCGAAGAGAGCAAGAGAGGAAGAGTGGAGGGAGGGGGAGGGGGAGGGAAGGGGGAGAGAAGGGGAGGGGAGGGGGAGGAAGGGGAGGTGGAAGAGAGAGAGCACACACTTGCACATACAGGCCAGAGGTCATGGAGACGCAGGGTCTCCTTGAGCCTGGAGCTCACTGACTTGAATGGCCAGCTGGGCTCCAGGAACCCTCCTCCTGCCCCCAACCGAGGCGCTAGGATCTCGGAAGCACGATACCAGGCTCTGCTTTTTAAGTGGGTGCTTGCGACACCCCAGGTCTCCACACTCATGTGACAAGTGCTTTACCTGCTAAGCTGTTCCCCCCCCCCCAGCTTCTTGAGCAGCTCACGAAACAAAGCTGTCAGAGCTCACAAACGTATTTATGTCACACACACCCTCACACTTTAAACCTGGGCAAAATCTGACCAGCTCATAAAAATAGGTGGATGCTGTCTACATAGCCGCTCAAATAATTTTTAATTTTAGAATTGCATTTACTTACTTATGTGTGGGAGGGGCACGCATGACATGCGGAGGTCGGTAGACCACACAGGGAGTGAGGTGGCTTGCTTTTGTGTCCCAAGGTTTGAACTCTGGGCCTTAGGCTGGGTGGGGCAGGTGCCTTTACTATACTATAGAAGCATTTGGGGAGCAGGCTGCCGTTTGGATACGGTTTAAGTGTTATCCCCTAAATGTTCACATGCTGGGGACTTGGTCACCAGGTGTGGCAATGTTAAGGGACAGCAGGATCTCTTAAAAAAGGGTTCTAGTGAGTTGTGCCTCTCCTTGGAGGGGATTCATACAGGTCTCAGGAGACCCCGGCGGCTGTTTGGTTTTCCACGGCGGCTGCACCACCTCCTCCATGGCGAAGGATGTAGAGAGAGGGGCCAGGACCGAGACGTGCTGCTTGGAACTTTAGCACATCAAACTGGCTACCGAAACCTCTTCCTTTCCGATAACTAACTCTGGGGGGGTTCTGCATAACAGAAAAGAGGTTACCAATGCAAGGGTGTTCACGGCTGTGCTTTTACAAGATTCAAATGACTGAATAAATGAAAATCTGCGAACCTGCACACTTGGCTTTGGGCAGGCATGTAAGTCATACTTGAAGGCAGGCAGGAAGAGAAAAGCACAGGCCGAAGACGGCCACCCCACGCACGCACGGCCATGCGGTAAAGAGCACACCCAGGAGCCAAGGGTCACAACGCCCGAAGGACAGGGCAGGTTAAGAGCACAGGGGCTGAGAACGTCTTGCCGAAATAGTATAATGGTGCATTGTACGTAGGTCTGTTATTTCTCATAAGCACATCGGCTTTTTAACGCCGGGTGTGTCGAAGTCCCAAATAAGCTGGTCGAACACAAGTTAATTTGAGAGGAAGGAAAAAAAAACCAAAAAAAACAAAAGGATCAAATCTTAACTAAGGGTCGAGATGCCACCTCCAAGTATGAAGGCATTTATTTGTGAGCCCATTGCTCCTGCACACTGTATTCTCAGCACGGGCCTGTTGGGAGTCATCAGGTTCTGTTCTCTGAAAGATCTATTATACACAAACAAACCTCCAAGCAGGACAAGGAGGAATACAGAAGCAAGCAGAGGCAGACAGACAGACAGACAGACAGACAGACCATCCAGAGACTGGGGGCCTGGGTGAGTCTACTCTTTCTTGTTCACTTGGAAATCACCACCAGGGCTTAGCCTGGCCACCCACAGGAACCTGAGAAGAGCCCACTCTCCCCGCTCCCTCATCAAGGGAAAGGCGCTGTGCTCTCCATACCTGAAACACTAGAATTCCCGTGTTGGCGACAGCCAGGTTGATCTTGGTGCCTTCTCTGTCCTTGGCAGGGTGCAACCGGATTCCGTACATCTCCAGCCGCCGGGCCACCTCCAGGAGCTGGAAATCTGACTCTGCTGGGGTTTGTCCACTGACAAAGCGAGGAAGGAAGAGAAAGGCTTGTCTATTAATTTCAGATTAAGCGGCTTCTCCGGGGAAATAAAAGGCACTTCATGGCGAGCAGCAGGGCTGTCCGATCAGATGGTACTGCCCCCCCCCGCTAACCCCAAAGCCTTGTCGATGAACAAAAGCCCTATTGCCAGGGTAACACAAAACCCCATGGTCCATCTCCAAGCCAGCCAGTTTCTTAGGATCTCAGTTTCCTCTAGGTCATGCAAAAGTAAAACACTACTGTGTTAAGCAAGTTTTCGGCCACTTTTAAGTAAGCCGAGCATAATGCAAGGCCCCTCCTACTGTCATCAGGTGATAATGTCGGCCTCTGAGGCACCAAAGGGAGGGTTCTCGGTGTCCTTCAAAACAGACCAAAACGTGAGGATCACCACAAAAGTTCTGGAGTTTTCCCGTATCTAACGCTATGCCTGGCTTGAAGCATACATCCCCACGATCCGTTAAGATTACCCGAGGGTTCTTACACATTCCCCTAGGTTCTAGGGTCACTCTGTCTCAGAGCGAGGGTCTCAAACACTCACCCTCTGTACTTTTTGATGGTCCACGTGGACCACAATATCCCAGGGAAACTCTACACTCGTTACATATCGCACAACGTGTGTGTGTGTGTGTGTGTGTGTGTGTGCGTGTGTGCGCGCACGGGTGCACTCACACCCGCACACGCACATATATACATCCCTGTACCCGGAGGAGAAAGCGACAACTGGAGGGCAACAGGAACCCCTGCACTGGACTCACATGTGGCTGTGGTGGAATTCCACGATTTTGTCTTCCAGCGCATCCTGCTGAGGTACGTACTTATTTTTCGCTAAGTGTTCTCTGTCCGATGCTTCGTCAAAATCCCCAATCTCGGCTACGAAGAAATAAAGGAAAGGGAAAATAAGCCACACGGGGTACACTGTTCAGAATGCGTTACAACCCTGGGTTAGCGAACCCAGAACTGACAGGTAAATGGGTGAGCACAGCCGGCAGGGACTGTGATGAGGCCTGGACCTCGGAGTGGAGACCGGGAGCAAGTGCCACACTCAGAGCGCCACGGGAGGGGTGACTTCTCCTCCTCCTCGATGGCTCACAATCATCCATCTGTTAGTCACACACACATACTCTGCTTTCTTTTAATGCTATCCCGACATCTGGCAACGGCACGCAGCAGCAACAGGGTACGGCGCGGCATTTTGAGGCAAATATACAATGGGAGGTGGAATTGTCGGGGTCATTGCTAAACCCGTCAGACATTCATCACTTCTTTTCTAAGAAGCCTCTAAAAGTCCTACCTCACAGTGACTCTGAAGTGCTCAGTTAGCCACATCTATGGTGCTGTGCTACGGGACGCTGGAAGTTATTCCCCCTCTCTCTCTCCCTTACTCCCTCCCTCCCCCCTTCTCAGTAGTACATCCTATACATTGGGCAATTGCTGAATGACTCGGTGTAAACAGACCTAGGGAGTTTCAGGACTTTTATGAAACCAGCTGTTGAAACTCTTCCCACGTAATAAGCCCAGATCTGTTGTCATAGAAGAGATGGCAGGGGGAGGAAAGATAAACAGTTTAACGTGGTTTTTGTTGTTGTTGTTTCACGTTAAGAGTTCACCACATTTCTTACACTGCCGGAAAGAACATGTCTGCCTGCAAGCAATTCGATGGGTTTTTCTCGTAGCAACCTCAACACGTGTCTAGACACCGATGTACCACAGACACATCTGGCTCGGGCCTCAACAACCGCACCCTGAGCACCAGGGAGGGCGTGTCTGTCAGACTCCCGGGGACGTGGTGCCTTCCTGTGCACCCTGTTACCCGTGCAACAAGCTTCCAGAAAGCAGCATAATGGCCAGGGCCCTGCACTTAGGGAAAGGTGGTTGCTATGGAAGCTACCTTTTGTTCTGCCATGCGAAGCAGCCTGCCACGTCAGCATGGCCTAGCCCCACGCCTCTTTACTGAGACAGTCTGTCCTGCTCACCCAGCAGCACTTGGACGGAACCCTCACAGTAACTGGTGACCGTTTCTGGATTGGATTTCCCCATTCTATCACGGAAAACGGTGCACACGGGGGAAGGGTGCCCCCGCCTGCAGACATGGTTATCAGTGGCCTGGATGGGAGCCTTGATCCCTTGCTAGGGTTTCCTCTATCTGTTCTTCAGAAAGCACAGTTGATTCCTGTTACTGAAGACAGACACGGGTGCTGGACCGATGGCTCAGTGGTTAAGAGCATTAGCCGCTGCTCTCACAGAGGACCTGGGTTCAGTTCCCAGCATCCATGTGACAGCCCACAACCATCTGTAACTGCAGGGGACACCATGCAGTCTTGGTGCCTTCTGTGGGTACCTGGCGTGCATCTGGTACACATCCATACGTGGAGGCAAAGGCTCATAAAAATAAAAATAAAGGGGAGCTGGAGGGACGGGTCAGAGGTTAAGAGCACTGGCTGCTCTTCCAAAGGTCCTGAGTTCAATTCCCAGCAACCACATGGTGGCTCACAATCATCTGTGATGAGATCTGGTGCCCTCTTCCGGTGTGCAAGCATACATGTAGGCAGAGCATTGTATACATAATAAATAAACCTTTAAAAAAATAAAAATAAAGAACAGAGGCAGGAGCGGTGGCTCAGTGGTTAAGAGCGCCTGTTGCTCTGTCCGAGGACCTGGGTTCGGATCCCACATCAGAAGGCTCACAACCACCCATAACTATGGCAGACTTTATGCTCTTTGGCCTCCACGGGCACCCACACATGTGACACACGCATAAATACATATAGAATTTTTTAAAAAGCCCAATCTTTTGGACAGGATAATCATTGAGTTATAAAGTCCCTGCGGACAGTGAGTTAGCCTCAGTGCACGCTGCTCTCAAGGAAAACATGAGGCCGGATTCCTGAAAAACTTGAGACATCATCACGAACCGACTGGTTTTTCCTGTGTGGCTGTATTTAAGGGTGTGCTGCTTAAGACACAGACCTGGTTCACCCACACGGAACTCACCGCCAAACAAAGCCCATGTAGCACGTGTATTCTCTCTATAACACTACGCTTAGGGACAAAGGCAGCACTTCAGCATCATGTGTGTGTGGGAGCAATTCAGAGGACAGCGAGGACACCAAAGGCAGCATAAGCATTTGAAAACCGTGGCACTATGTGGGCCATGGGAATGGGAAGGGTCCTTGTGAACAACGCGACCGCAGAAAGGGAAGGCAGAACTTCCACCTGCTTGGCCGCAGGTGATGAGAACAATCAGATTTTCCCTGTCCTGGGTGCAGGTGGTGAGGACAATCAGATTTTCCCTGTCCTGGGTGCAGGTGATGAGGATAATCAGATTTTCCCTGTCCTGGGTGCAGGTGATGAGGACAATCAGATTTTCCCTGTCCTGGGTGCAGGTGATGAGGACAATCAGATTTTCCCTGTCCTGGGTGCGTCTACAAAGGATGCTGAAGGCACACAGTATTGGTCTGGGGATAAATTTCAGTGACCGGGCAAGTCTGAAATGAGACTATCAGAGCAGTGGAGAAGAAGCTCTAAGTTCTTAGGGGACTTAAATCCGGGCTTCTCAACTCTTTTCCATCCTGATGACAGAAACACGGCCGGGTAAGGGTTCAGGTTTTCCTTCGGCATCAGGGTTAACACGCACCCCGGAGGTCTCTTCCCGGTCACTTATGGAGGCCCTCCTCTAACACAATGGCTGCCCGAGTACAGAATACACTTGCTCCCGAGCGTTCCCCTCTCTGCGAATTACCTGAGGCCGAAGGGGAATCTGCAGCAGTTTTAGGGTGCGTCCTAACACTAGCGAGGCATGAAGTCACGTGTCCCCACTCTACAGGGCACCCAGGGCAGCAGCGAAAACAACACGGACATCTTTGACTGCGCCTGTGCGCCGCCTGCAACTTCTCCTCAACCAGATCACCGCGTGATTCCCGCGGGGCTCTCAAGGGGCGTCGAGGGAACTTACACTGTACAATGTGCGAGATCAGGAGAGCGGCGCTGGTGTCGTTGCACGTCAGCCTGCCTTGGGCCAAGTCCTGCTTCACCTGCAGAGCAAACAGGTACCTGGAAAGGTCAACAGAGAAGGGGGGTCACGCAAAGGGGACTGGGGAGTCGGCATAAAGAGGCAGCATCCTCTGGCAATCTGAACACTCAGCGAGAAACTAAAGAAAGGTACAACTGGGTAGAGAGAAAGCCGACAGAGACTGAACCTAGTGAAGGGAACAGGCGAGCTTGGAATGGCTAGCTTTTCACAGACGCGAGCCCTCGTAAATACATTGTTTCAGAAGCAGCAGTCTTCCAAAGCCAACCCTGTGACAACTTGACCACAACAGGAATGATTGAAACAAACTGAAACATACTGAATTCTAATGAGGAATTAAGGAAAATTCATGATTCCACTGACTGTGGGTTGGTAAAGAGCAAAAGGTTTTAATATATCACACTCCATGATCTATTCAAAGAACTCCTTGTCCAAAAAAACTGGTCATTGGCCGGTGCCGTTAATGGCACAAGAGTTATGGAAGTAACCAACCAGAGTTGATCTGAAGCCTGCTTCACAGGAGGGAGCTCATGCCTGGCACTGTAAACCTGGTCAAAATCCTATGGCCCAGGGAATCATAGGTCCTAGAAGGGAAGCTACTTCTGTCGTCTGACCAGATGGACATGTCATAAGAATACTTTCTAGATATTTATGCTTATACCCATAGAACCCCTCAGCCTTGGCCAGAGACGTCTTTTTTTTTTTTTTTTTTTTTTTTTGGTGGGCAGCAGCAACACGGAAGAGATTCACGGCTGGTCAAAATGATGACTGAGTGGCCACTGTGTGCTCACCCTAAACGGGACATCCTTCCCACACCAAGACTCAGGGAACGCCACAGAAGAGGGCGTCAAACAAGAGCCAGAGGATGGGGAGCGGAGCTGTGAAATGCTGAGCTTTGGACGTGGCAAGGCTTCTGCATTAAGAAACTGTGCACTCACTGCAACTACTGCTACCCATGGTAGGCCAAGCCGGCCAGTCCAGCCAGCATCTCAGTTGGCAGCACCAACCGGATTCAGTGACTTAACAAAAATAGAAAAAGAAAAAAAAAACAACCAAAACCCCCAAGAGGACATGAGATGGGAAGGGGATACATCAGTGGGCACGGCGGTCTGTGTGTGTGTGTGTGTGTGTGTGTGTGTGTGTGTGTGTGTGTGTTAGACACTATCAAGACACATTGGGCAGGCGTATGAGATTATCAAAGAACACATGAAAGACACTCTAAAAATAACAGCACACACAAACAGGTGTCGGCTGAAGGCAAAGGACCATGGGCGTCGCCACCTGTGTAGCTCAGGATGAGCATGGAATGCAAGCAGACCTCGGAGTTTTACTTCACAGGGCCAGAGAGACCCTCTCTGGACAGGACAGAAACCCTCTCTCAATAACCTCTAAAGAAATCCACGCCGGCAAGGATTGTCCGTTGGCACAAAAATCATTAGGAAGCTTCATGTTCCGGAAGCGCCTGAAGAGACATTATTTATTTCCCAATGGAAAGATCAGAGTGTGACCTCCTCGTTCTAATGTACAATCTTCTCATTGTTATGAAGCTTCTAACATATCATTCAGAATAGATTCTGGTAAAAGAATAAAGTGTTTGGCTGTACCTGCAGAGCCTTTAGAACAAATTTCCAGCTCTTAAGAATACACGAGTTTGGAAGAATAAGCGAAACACACCAGAAGGAAGCAATGTGACAAGCCTAGGAGGCACGGAATTTTGTTGTGCAAAGCCAGCATCCCGAGGAAGCCTAAAGAACTGTGCTGGACTGACAGAGGCCCAGGACGAGTGACCACTGGCATAGCAACTCACCAAGTGTGAGTCCTACTTCCTTTGTTTATTTATTTGTTTATTTTTTGAGACAGGGCCTTATTATGTAGTCTCAGATGGCCTGGAAGTCACTATGTAGACCAGTGTGGCTTTGAACTCACAGACATCTGCCTGCCTCTGTCTCCTAAGTGCTGAGATTAAAGGCATGCGCCACCAACAACCGGCCCCAATGAGTCTCAATTTGGAAAACATAGACATAAGGAACAGTCAGGGGAAAGTTGAGAAATTTGAGTTCGGCAAGGGTAACCTGTAACGTGAGAAGTACATGCATATGTATAAATAAACCAGAGAGGGTGTCATACTTCTGTGATACACAAGAGAGATGAATGACTCCTACGGTCTCACTCCTGACCAAATGTTACAGCTTCCTATAGTGCAGTTACTACTTCGTCAAACGAAAGACGGCTTTACTATATTTCTGTGGGGTTGGAGTGGAGCCTTGGGTCTCACACATGCTAGGTGTGGTGGCTTGGATGACAATGTCCTGCATGGGCTCAGATGTTTGACTGCCTGGCCACCACCAGGTCTCGGTGCTACTGGGGAGGCTTAGGAGGTGTGGCCTTGTGGTGACGTGTGTCCCTTGGGGCCTGGCTTTGAGAGTCTGAAGACTACTGACATTTCAACTTCACCATTTTGGCTTCCTGCCTGTGCTTGAAGACGTGAGCCTGCTGTTCAGACACCACCTGACGCCAGCAGCCTGGGCTCGGCCATCATGGCCGCTAAGAGTCAGGAACCGTAAACTGTTTTCTCTTATGTTACCTCGGCCGTGGCGCTGTATCATAGCAACAGAAAAGCGGCCAACCCACAAGGCTGGCTCTCTGCTGGCTCAACTACACGCCGGTTAATTCTAACAGAAGAAGAAGACTGTTAACAGTATCAAACACATGGATTTCCCTAAGAACTCGGAGAGATACAGAGGTGAGTCCACCAGGCTCGCCATGGCGACGATGGATTGTTCTAAACCCATAGTCACATGGATGGAGAACCCTGATTAAACTCTGTGTGTGTGTGTGTGTGAGAGAGAGAGAGAGAGAGAGAGAGACAGACAGACAGACAGACAGACTCTCATCCATACACACAAAACAAACAAACAGGAATGCCCCAAATCATGCCAATACGGAGAGGGACTTGGGGTGCTGGACCGATGGAGTAGGGGGGAGGTAAGAGGGCCAAGATGGGAGCAGTCGGAATGCGTTTTATACACAAGCACGAAACTGTCAAAGAACAGATTTATCAGACAGATTGATAATCCATGGGGAGGGAATAACTGACATTTCAAAAATTGGTAACGTAAAAAATTACAGCCATAGCCGGGCGTTGGTGGCGCACGCCTTTAATCCCAGCACTCAGGAGGCAGAGGCAGGCGGATCTCTGTGAGTTTGAGGCCAGCCTGGTCTACAGAGTGAGTTCCAGGACAGCCTCCAAAACAATACAGAGAAACCCTGTCTCGAAAAACCAAAAAAAAAAAAAAAAAAATTACAGCCAGGCCTTTGGAGCGCCTTAAATCCCAGCACTCAGGAGGCAGAGGCAGGCGGATCTCTGTGAGTTCAAGGCCAGCCTGGTCTACAGAGTGAGTTCCAGGACAGGCTCCAAAGCTACACACAGAGGAAACCCTGGCTTGAAAAACAAACAAACAAACAAACAAATAAAACAGCAACAAAAACAAAAAAACCCAAAACTAAAACAAAAAAAATCCAACCAATCTTCTTTAAATTGTTTAAGACATTTCATTGTTAACAACTAAAAATGCAAAAAATGAAACATGAAAGAATCCAAAAAAGGTGGTCACTGCACAGGTAGAAAATAAAATCCCCGACACTGGGAACCGGCAGCTGACAACAGGAACCTGGCCAAGTTCCTTCCTGAACCTGTGTCCTGTCCTGACTGCTCTACCTGCTATCCTGCCTCTCGCAAGGAAATCAAAGGGAGGAGGCTGGGGGCCAGCACAGGGGCTGGTGGTGGGGGAAGCAGGGGCTCCGGGGGAAGGGTTGGCCTCATCTCTCTGGGCCAGGCAGTGGTGACCGCTCCCTCCCTGAACCCAGTACTTCACAGAGCTACTGGCCTTAATTCTGACCCACACTGTAGCTAACTTTCAAACAGCTAGAAGGGTTTTACATTTTAAAAGCACTGCACTTTGAATAATTTATCAATTCAAACACCAGGTCCTGTGTCTGCAGAGAGGTGTTTTGGGACATATTTCTGGCCAGAGTCTAAGAGGCTTTGTGGGTGTTGGGTGCCAACCCCAAGAGGGTTGAGTGACAACAGAGGGCCCTGGAGGCGTGCACACATATGTGGTTGGGCACACGTGTTTCTGAAGGCTGTAAGAGCGTCATCTTCTGGCTCTATGCTTAGTCCCTGCTCCCAGGCTGGGGTAACAAGAGAAACAGCTTCCTGGGGCTGACACCATGGTCTCTGCTAACCACAGGAGCTGTAAGTGGAACGTACCGGCTGTTCTTGGCTTTCAGACACTTAGCAACACCTTTGGCGCTATAAATGGAAGCAATTCCAGTCAAGCCCACAGGAGCCGGGGCTAACCCTTACTCAGTAGGCACTAAGTACAGCTAAATGGCGATAACAGTAATACAAAATGCTTCCAAGGGGATGGGCTGTGTCTGGGAGAGCGAGACAGGACCGACGAGTGGACCTTTGGCCTTGCTTCAGGACCTGTCTGTAAAACATCGATGACAGTTTGATCTATTTCTAAATAAGTAAAAATTAATTAATTAAAAAATTAACCACACCGTTTTAGTTTTCCTGCCAGTCAGTGGGAACTTTTACGGGCAATCTAGAGCATAATTCTGGTAGGATCTTTTGGCTGAGAAGAGGAACTGATCCTGCTGAAGACAGACAGACAGACAGACAGACAGACACACACACACACAGAGAAAAGCTTTGCCATGAGAACAGCTGGGGTGGAGGTGGAGAGATGGCTCAGTGCTCAGTGGTTAAGAGTTCTTGCTGCTCTAGAAGAGGCCTTGGGTCCAGGTCCCAGCATCCACAGAGCAGCTCACAACCACCTGTAGATCCAGGGGATGCCATGCCTGCCTCTGGCCTCCGAGGGGACCAGGCACATATGTGCATGCAGACAAAACACTCACATAAAAAATACCTTGTTTAAAAAATACATAGTTTTTCAAGACAGGGTTCTCTGTGTAGCCTTAGCTATCCTGTAGACCAGGCTGACCTTAAAGTTACAGAGATCCGCCTGCCTCTGCCCCCCAAGTGCTGGGATTAAAGGCGTGCACTGGTGCCACCACCCAGCAGGAATTATCTTTAAATGACACACACACACACAAAAAGCTAGGAATTTCTTATTCAATGAGTCCCTGGTTACTGTTTTCAACATGCACCCCTCCCCCCAAAATCAGGTCTTTTCTCTTCTAGAAGCCTGGGTGCCCGGCATCCATACAACTGACTCCACGGTTCAATAATCCCGAATGGAATCCAGCTTCCTGTCGAGCAACAAACTGAGACTTAATCTTCTCTCTATAAAAATGCTATTCCTGGAAGCCCTACTGCATCCTAACCACAAAGCCAGACTAAGTTACATCCTGATAGGAACTTTGCTGTGCCCCGGGCTCCCATCTATCCCCCTTCCCCTGAAAGCTCCGTCACCCTCCTGACCACGCAACACAGTCAAGTGTCTGAAGTCTCCATCACCACCACATTATCTCTGCTTATGCAGGGATTTGAGGGTGTGGGTTCCCAAGGTTTCGAACTGTGCTGAGAACAGTGAACAGAATGGTTTCACAAGAGACCCCTAAAACGGACTCAGGTCATAACAGACAAGAGAGATACATACGACACACACACACACACACACACACACACACGGCACTGACAGGTCATAAGGTCACCTCACTTCATAACCAGTTGTAAAGAAACCAGGCTGCAGGAAAAGCCTGGCGTTTTCCTTCACCTTGTAGGCACAGATGGAAGACACCAGGGTTAAACCCCGCTAAGCGCTGAAGAGATACGGTCAGAAAAACATCACGGAAAGGTTTAGTCGGTTGGGAATTCGAGTTCACTTTTTCCTCTGCGCACACTATAGTGAAAAATGCCCATTTGACAGCCACCAACCTTGTGAGCTCTTCTTGGAGCTGTGTGTGATCAGGCGGGAAGAATTTCACCACGAACCTAACGACGACATGCTTTGGCCCTGGAAAGAACAACAGAAATCATTAAGGTGCACACTGACGAGTGTTTTCAAAGTCACCAAGCAACGAGACTTGCCGAGGAGGCTCGTCACTGCCGTCCCAAGGTTCCCAGGGTCCAGCCGCCAACCAAGCCGTCCAGAATGGCCATGGCTGCTAACTCGCACGCCTTCAGAGTGACAGGAAATCAGCTTTTTAGGAAACGGACTCTGACACAGAGACTCTACACGCACTCAATGGTTCTGCTCTTTCTCTGGAGCTAACAGTTACACTTGGGTTTTTAAACCAGACGCGCTTTGGTTTGTCTTAAACAGAGTCTTAACTATGTGGCTAACCGGGCTTCAAAACTCATGGAGATCTGCCTGCCTCTGACTCCTGAGGGCTGGGACCGAAGGCAAAATGTAGCCACACTTACAGACCAGCTACGATTGTCTGCGGGTAGCCTGTAGGGGAGATCATGAAAACATAAACCGCTCACACAGTTAAGACGACGCGGCCGTCTATGGAGGCAGCCGCTACCACTCCCATCAAATGTGATTCCAGCCCCTGAGCCATGAGGAGGAAATATAAGAGTAGGGGCTCTGCCTGCATCACTGCGGGCCACGGGCCTTTACTGTCTTGTGCGTGTTTCCAGGGAGCTGGGACAAAATCAGGAAGTAGCCGAGGACTGGAGGGAGGCTGTGACGATGGAGAGGTTCAGAATCGAAGCAGAAAGCCAAACAGCTTATAAGGTAGTGATCTGCAGTGTTAAGCGAGACTTCTGATTTTCGGTGGATGCAACAGTCTCAAGGGGGTGGGGAGGCTGCTGTCTGGAATGACAGCAACATCAGGTGAGGGCGATTAACGGCATGACAGCAGTGAGGGGCATTGTGGGTATGTGGGGCATGATGGGAGTGAGGGCATTGTGGGTATGTGGGGCATGATGGGAGTGAGGGCATTGTGGGTATGTGGGGCATGATGGGAGTGAGGGCATTGTGGGTATGTGGGGCATGATGGGAGTGAGGGGCATTATGGGTATGTGGGGCATGATGGGAGTGAGGGCATTATGGGTATGTGGGGCATGATGGGAGTGAGGGCATTATGGGTATGTGGGGCATGATGGGAGTGAGGGCATTATGGGTATGTGGGGCATGACGGAGTGAGGGCATTATGGGTATGTGGGGCATGATGGGAGTGAGGGGCATTATGGGTATGTGGGGCATGACGGAGTAAGAGGCAGGCTGGGGGATTGAACCTAGGGCCTCAGTGTGTGCTTAGCATGTTGTAGACAGCTGAGGTAAAATCCTAGCTCTGTGGAATCCACATTTTATTAGTAGTGCTTACCACAAAAGTAGAAAAGCATGCACTTCTATGTTTTTTTCTAAGCCTTGCAGTAAACACACACAAAATAGGTTTCAGAACATAATTGAGAAAGGACTAAAAATAGCCATGCACTCTCAGGTGAAGACGTTGGCCATGTACAAAGTTATGAAAAGAGGGACAAAGCATGGAGAGGGGGGAGATTGGTTCAACTGTTAAGGGCACTGACTGTTTATGGAGGACCTGGGCTCCAATCCCAGCACCCACAACTAACCGTTCCTAGGGGGAATCTGGTGCCCTCCTCGAGTATTGCATGCACAGATACAGGTGAAACACTCTACACACACACACACATACACACACACACACACACACACACACTTACGTTTTTTTAAAGTTAAACACAGGAATGCTGATGCCAAGTATCTTGAGACATTCCCAACTTAACTCTAAGAATGATGTGGCACCGGCTGTAAGAGTCTAAGGCTAGCCTGGAGCACAGGAGAGGCAGGAGGCGTAGCAGAAGGGCGAGAGAGAGCAGGGACCCTCTCCATGTCAGTCACTGACTGAGCACAGCCACCATGGCGGGATGAGAGAGACAGAGGCCACCGCCGTCTCCACCCTCGGGCGGCTGTTCAGGTCCAAAGGGACACAAAAGCTAGGAAAATTTCTGTTGTCAATGCCAAGCGATGGCCTTGTCACACAGGGCTGGTCACAGCACACAGAGGATACAGTTAACACCCCTGCTCCAGTTGTGACCTCACAGCCAAGGATGCTGTGCCACCGCAAGCGGACCCCTGTGAATCACTACAAGGAAGCGGCAATCCTGCGGATTCATGGAGAGAAGCATGAACATTCCAGGGCCTGAGCTCCCTGTACTGGTCATTCATGGGGGGGGGGTTTCTCTCAGCAGTGTGTCCCCCAATTCCCCCTATGCCCCAGAACAGTAAGAGGGTGTGGCCTCCAATGCTTAGTTGAAATGCCTGGATATCAGCAGCAGCAATAGCATGGCAGGAGGGCCCCACAGACGCTGCTCAGGTTTTTACATCCACGATGCAGGGGGGATTTCTCTTAATCAGAGAAAGCGAGCTAGGGCACGGGGTGAGCGCCAAGGGCAGCCAAAGCCCACGGCTCCGGTCTCATCGACTTGACCCGGGCCACTTGGGACGACTCTAAGAACACAGCTCATCTCAAAGCAGTGAGAAAGATGAGCAGCTGCCCAGGGGCCAGGAGACAGAGTGAAAACTGAGTTTCCTATTGTTTTCAGGGCCTTCTTAATCTCTTCAAATACACAGGCTGGACTCACGCTTGCCCATCGGATACACACACTAACATTCACACATATACCAAACACACTCACACACCACACACACACCATATATAAACATGCCACACACATACCCTCACATACTCCCTGACACACCCTCTACACACATACCCTTACACACACACCCGCACACCAAACACACACCCCCCACACTTACAATTAAGCACATTCTCCTCAGACAAAACCAGCATTCTAATTTCATAGGCTTTGAAGAGGTAGATCAGAAAACCTCAAATCTATTTTATGAATAGAGGGCTCCACCCTTCCCCTGAGAACATGGCAGCGAAACAGAAAACAGCATGGAGACAGGCTCAATTATTCCAAGGCTTAATAGCAAGCATTAGTCATTAGTCACGATGATATTTGACTTTCCAAGTGAGGTATTTATTACCAAAGTATTATGTATGAAAACGGCAGAAGTTACATAGTTTAATAGTCTGTGGGTTGGTGAGTGATGACAAGCTGTCACAGGGGGAAAAAGAATCTGTATCTCTAGTGTTCTGTGTCACAGACACACAGACACCTCACGGGGGTCACCTGGCCTTTGGTGAGCAGGAGGGATATACTTACTTCGAATCTGTTTTGCAATGGGCTTCAGGAGGTCCAGCCACACCTGAGGAGGGAAGAAAATCAAACAGAACACACCTTCAGTGAAAAGTGCAGATTTTTGGGACCATTTTAATCTACTGTAATGAAAAAAAATTTTTGAGAGTTTCAGGTTGTGAACTTGTTTTTCCTCTAGAATATTTTACACTGCCACCCCCTTTGAAACTTTATCATTCCCTGTGTCTGGGCATTTTGCATGCATGCATGTCTGAGCATCACATACATGCAGTACTCCTACAAGCCACAAGAGGGTACTGGATCCCTTAGAACTGGAGTTGTAGATGGTTGTGAACCATCTTGTGGGTGCAGTATACTGAACACAGGCCCTCTGGAAGGGGACCACTGCTCCAGGCCTCTGCTAGCTCCTTCTGCATAATCTGCAGAGTCTGTGTCCAAACTTGACAATTAAAACCTTTCCAAGGGGCTGGAGAGTGGCAGAGGTTAAGAGCACTGGCTGCTCTTCTAGAGGACCTGGGTTCAACCAACACCCATGGGGGCTGCTACTCACAACCTCTAGTAATTCCAGTTCCAGGGGGCCTGACACCCCCTTCTGGCCTCTGTGTGTATTACATGGACGTGGTACACTTGTACACATGTAGGCAAAACAATGATATACATAGGACACGCACATATATAAAACCACCCTTTCTTAAGTTCCCATGAAAGCTAACAGGCGGACAGCGCTGCTGAGCAGGCTCAGGGCAATGCAAAAACAAAGTTAAGAAAACAAAGAGAATTTCGGGGCTGCTAAGCTCTCCAGAGGACCCAAGGACAGTTCCCAGCACCCGTGTCAGGCGGCCCACAACCATCTGTAACCCCAGCTCCGGGGGATCTGATGTTTGGAGCCGCTGTGGGCACCTGCACGCGAGCGCACACACCCACGCGCAAACACACACCTGCACAGATGAGACAGTAAACACAAATATTCTTAAAAGCTAAGGCATTTTCTACTCTTATTCGTGCCTTTATCGTATCTCCCCATTCAGAAAATGTTAACGAATGAGTGACTAGTAGTGAATGATCACATGATTACTAGCTGAGCGAAATGTGCACGCCTCTCAGAGGAGTGAAACCCACGCATGGTCACGTACACACAGAACAGTAGGTCCTTGAGAGACAGGAGAGCGGAGTAAGCATTTACACACTACCATACATGTTTCTACCTCTCAAAGCCAGTGGGATTCCTGTAGCCCAGGAGAGAAACCTGAGGCATGCATGGTGCGTTAATGTGTCCCGGGAGCCCCAACCAGAACTCAACGAGGCAGACAGATCTGGGCTCGCCCAACTGCAAGTCCTACTCTTTCTACCCGCACGCTCCCTGCAGAGTCCAAATCAGAGAAAAACAGCTGGCCTTGTCAATAAAACGTTAAGTTAAGCACACGATCCCGTGGTGTGTGTTCTTTTTTTTAAAAGCTCTCCTTGAACTGCTGGTCAGTTGAAGGGGTTCTCGCTGCGTGCAGGGTGGAAACAAGGCTAAAAGTCTCACGGTAAAAGGAGAGGTTAGAAGTTGACGAGTTATTTACAACGAGAAAATTTCAAAGGCAAAGAAGAAAATGCTGACGTCAGGGAAAGATTTGTGCTGGAAATGCAAATCAAAAAATAGTGAAACGCCATCTCCAACGACTAGATAGATACAACACATGTGCTAATTGTGTGTGGGGGCGTGCATTCGTACTCATGTGTGTGGGTGTGTCTCTGTATGCCTCTGTGTCTCTGCGTGTCAGTGTGTCTCTGTGTGTACGTGCATGATCTTGCATGTGTCCTTGTGTGTTCACGTGTCTCTGTGGATGCCTGTATCTCTCTGTGTGTGTGTCTGTGTCCCTGTGTGTGCATGTGTTTTTCTGTGTGTGCTTGTGTGCCTCTGTGTGTGTGCATGCCTGTGCGTGTGCATGTTTGTGCATGCCCTGTGTGTGTCTGTGCATGCCCGTGTGTGCCTATGTCTGTGCATGCCTGTGCGGGTGCATGTCTGTGCATGGCCTGCGTGTATATGTCTGTGTATGCAGGCCCATGCATGCCCGTGCGTACCTATGTCTGTGCATGCCCGTGCGTACCTATGTCTGTGCATGCCCGTGCGTGTGTATGTCTGTGCATGCCCTGCGTGTATATGTCTGTGCATGCCCGTGCGTGTGTATGTCTGTGCATGCCTGTGCGTGTGTATGTCTTTGCATGCCCTGCGTGTATATGTCTGTGCATGGCTGTGTGCGTGTGTGAGCCCCCTCATGTGTGGCAGCTGATGAGGATGACAAGGGCACAGGCGCCATCACTTTACTCTTGCTGCCGGGTGGTTGCATGGGTACAACTCCACTAGAGCCGTCCATAGTGTTCTGAAGGTGCCCCTTCGACTCTTACTGCATCAAGTCATCCGTGGCTGCGAACCGCGCATTTATGCCTGCAAAAGACGCACAGCTCAAGACTGCTAATTTTAACATTTCTGTGACTGAAATGCTTCTTCTTACAATAAACAAGTAAATGGAATGATTCACGTCTGCACGATGCATTACCAGGCAGGCATTAAGGGTTATGCTCTTGGTTGTCCGTTTATTTGGAACAGCCTCACTCTGTGGGTCTGGCCGGCATTCACTATGCAGCCTCGGATGGGCATGTGAATACAACCGGGCTGTTATCGCGGACGAGGGGCTGAGGGAGAGGAGGGAAGTCCGGCTCCTATTGCATCAGGCAGGCCAGTCACCTTATCTGAAAACCAACGGGATTTGTCGGCAAGCTGCATAGGACAGCTGAAGGAAGAAGAGACAGTGACCAGAATGACACGAAGATTTCCGCTATGGCATCTGGATGTCACTCCTGGGAAAGGACCAGGGACACAAGGACCTAGAGATGCTCCTGGACCATCCAAGAAAGACAGGGCTCGGGAGAGGCTGCCAAGCAATTTCTCATTTGGAATCTGTACTGTGTGGACTCTACACCAGAGGAGATGGTGACACCACATGGGCACCAATGATACCTTTGATACCTGTCTCAAGACACCTGAGCTGCTGTAACAAAATGCCGCAGGCTGGTTGGCTATATTTTGGTATATTTTAGTTTCACCCCCATGAAAGGAGGGGTAAGCAGCCCAGCACACTTGGTCCCTCCCTCCCTCCCTCCCTCCCTCCCTCTCGCTCCATCTCTCTCTGAGACGGAATGTTACCAGGCAGCTTTGTCTGCCCCTGGAACTCAATATGCAGAACCATGCTGGTCTAGAACTCAGAGATCCACTTGAGCCTGCCTCTGCCTCCTGAGTGCTGGGATTAAAGGTGTGCGCCACCACAGACTCCTCTGACCTATTTTAAGTGGACCCTACGCCATCCACAAGGTCTCTGCCCATAGGACCAATCAATCACCTCCCAAAAGCCCTGCCTCGTAATACTCCATTGACGACGCGTGGCTTAGGGTTGAGACACATGGATTCTGCAGACACATAAACACTCATGGAACAGTCAGGGACTAGCAGAGAGGAACCGTCTGGTGAACCAGGCAGTGTTTTCAGGAGGACGGGTCTGACAGCTGGCAAACCAGAGGTGTGTGCCAGCACACATGGGCGTCTGTCAGTCCAGCGGTGGCCTGGAAGTCCAGTGGGCAGTGTGTCTCCCCTCGTGTGCAAAGCCAGGTGCACTAGTTAGCTATAGAAGCTGGGGCGGTGACAGCACACACACCTTTAATCATAGGACCCAGGAGGCAGAGGCAGATGGATCTCCGTGAGTCTAGGGCCACCCTGGCCTACACAAGAGTGAGTCGGTCTAAAACAGGAGTAGAACTCACACCTTTAACCCCAGCCCTAGAGAGGCACAGAAAGGACAGGAGCCCAGTGTCTCAGGGTGCATCCTGAGATTCTCCTCTCCAGCTACGCTGAGGAAGAGACAGCAGTCCGAGGCTTGGTGAGAGCTCGTGGAGCCGGGATCACATTCCAATCTGCGTCGCTTTTCTGACCTCCAGCTTGAAGCCTGGTCCCCAATATCTGTCTATACATCCACAGGGAGGGAACGGAATGGAGACCGCTGTCTAAGTCAGAAAGGACTCGGGTAAAGCTCGCTAGGACAGGCGTGGGACATGCAGGCGACTAGCGCTGGCAGACCCCAGCGGGTGAGAAGAGAGGAGGCCCAGATGCTGGCACAGGCCAGGAAGAAGAGTTAGCGATCTGTCAGAGAGGAAAAAAACATGCCCAAGCCATGTTGATCTTCTCATTTTGCTCTAGATGCTTCACCGGCAATAGGGCTTGAGGGCGTGTGTGATGGGAGCCGTCATTCTGTAAATCGTTTGTTTGTAAATCTGTTGGTTGTTGAATAAAGCACTGTTGGCCAATAGGGAGGCAAGATAGGTGGGACTAAGGAGTCCAGGAGGATTCTGGGAAAAGCAGAGACAATGTAACCTGCCAGAGGAGTAAGAGGTCCAGAACCCTTTTCTCCGGTAAGAGAAATACTTAGATTAACAATTATGGGTTAAATACTTAAGTCAGAGCTAGCCAGTAAGAAACAAGCAAATGGCCAACAGCTTTATAATTAATATAGCCTCCTGTGTGTTATTTGGGGGACTGCAGGGCCTAGGCGGATGGCGGGGAATGCTACATGTGTGTTCCTACTTTTCCTTCTCCTAGTGCATACCTGATATTTGCTATCTTTGTACATACTTTCGCATCAAGCCTAAATCTTTCTCTTTACACTAAAAGGGGAACTGTAGTGAGAGATTCGCCCAGCCGCACCTGTGGCGCTGACCACGCCCGCTCGTGGGTGGTCACTGGTGAGCGTGTGGGATTTGGTCTGGGGTCCCGGACAGGTTCGCTCTGGCTTGGTTCTGGTCGGGTCACGGAGAGCAGCCAGGGTGTGGATCCTTGGAGCTGGGACTTTCGGGTCATCTGTTACTCATGTAAGTGATTTCTCCCCCAAATAAAACTATAACCTATATTTAACCGAGTCCCCAGTATCTTAAGCAGTGCCACTACAAAGGCAGACCCAGGGAGGTGACATGTCTGAGTCTGTGTGTCATTCTGCTTCCCTATGACATCAGAGGACC